GTAGGGCCTGTGGGCAGACTGTGCGAAAGGCTGCGGCGGTTCCGGGCCACGCTGCGGGGCTGGCGTCGTATCTGCGGAGGCATTTGTTTACAGTTTCGCTGAGTGAGCACTGGCACGATGAGGTCCTGGCGATCAGAAGCTTTCCTCACCGGCTCCGCCAGGCGGGTCCCTGAGGAGCCGGGTTCCCAAGGCTTCGCACGCTGGGCCCAGGCCTGTCTAGCTGCCGGGACGCGTTGCTGTGGCGATGGCCTTGGGGACCCGGGCAGTCAGGTGCAGCACCTGTACTGGCTGATGATCTCAAACTGACACCAGACTACGGAAATAACGTGGCCTGAAGCGCATTAAGTTTTAGAACGGCTGGGCTCTTGAGCAGTAACTTCAAAATAGGTTCTATTAGAACCCTTTTAACTTTTAGCACTCCTCTGGTTGTTAGCCAGCTCCTGGGACGCTGTCAAGTATAACCTTTACTGTGTTCGTTTTAGAGGTCAAACAAGAAAATCACAGGAAGGGGCATGTAAAGATACACTCTGCTGAGACAATGAGAGTTATCTATACTAGATTGTGAATCACTTTCCTGAATTTGATGGTAAGCATGTAGACTCGTGCTCTGGAAGAATACTGGTGAGGTTAATGTTTTGTACTTTGTTATGTAGGAGTTCAAACTTTGGAAGAAATCTTAGAATATGTTTGGCGTGCTAGTAATTTTTACCTGCTGCTACAGAATACAGATTTTAAGATGTTAAAAAGGTATGCAAAGTGACTGAGATATGTGGCTGACACAGACGAGCAGATTTTGATTCAGCTTGCCCTTCAGGCATCCCCCAAGTCCTTATGACAGGTTATAGAAGCAAAATCTCATATGAGGTTTCCTCTGAAGTGTCTGGGGTAACCGGAGACTTGGACTGTATGGTTCATTTGTGCTGATTTGGCAATTGTAAACGAAGCGAGTAATAATTAACCTGTGTATTGTCTTCAGCATCCCTTCTGCATGCTTCAGAGATCGGTTTAATCCTAGACACTGTGTGGGATTGCTTTAAAACAAACAAAACCAAAATACTCTATTGGCATCATTTTAAAACCAAAATATTGCATTGGCATCATTTTATCAGTGTAAACAAATAAGGTTATTACTCTATACAAGTTGCTTGGAGGAGTTCTTTGCTTAAAATTTTATATGTGTTTAACAGTTCTGAAATTAGAGGGTGAGTCTGGTTTTAGTGACCTTTCTTCCTCATTCTTCTAAGAGTGAAGTGCTACTCTAGAGACACGGCATGCCACATTCAGCTGTCTGAAATTCTTTGCAATTAAATTTTCTAGATATTAAGATAGTCTTCAAGAATCTATAACTTTTGAAAAGGAAACTTTTAAGAGACACATTCGATAAACTCAGAGATTGGAAAAGATCAGCAAGTATTAATGTACTTTTCTTCCCCTTTCCAGTAAACTACTGGATGCTTTTAGCTAATGGATCATAAACTGCAAGCCAAAGTTCTTGGTCATTATTTTGAATAATGACAATGTAATTTCCAATGTGACTGCTATTGTTACAAATGTGTCTGGCACAATTAAAGACTGCAGTGGTTTAAATAGCTTTTTCATTTATCCATTTGTGTATGTGTATGTGTGTGCTTGAGCACAGTTACACACATACACACACACACACACACACACACACACACACACACACACACACACACACACACACACGCAGTGTCACTGGGGTTGAGGTAGAAGCCAGAGGACAACTTGCAGAAAATCACTCTACCATGGTAGTTCCTGGCTGTTAGACAAGCATCATCTCTTGCTGAGTCATCTCCCCAGCCCAAGATCACAGTGTTTTGATACCACTCTACCACTCTAATTTAAAAAATATTTGATTTTATGTATATGTGTGCTCAAGCCTGAGAGAGAGAGAGAGAGAGAGAGAGAGAGAGAGAGAGAGAGCCATTTCCATGCAGGAACCTTGGGAGATCAGAAAAGTCTCCATCAGATTTCCATGGGACTGAAATTAACAGAGTGATATGAGACACCATGTCAGTGCTTAGAACCAAACCCTGGTTCTCTGCAAGAGCAGTAAGTGAACCTCTACATCTCTCCAGTCTCCCAAGACATCTACTTTTATGGTCACTGTTTTCTATTTGCATTGCCTGGAGACATTTTTGTTGTCAAAATAGGGAGTTGAGTGCTATTAGTTTCTGGAAGGATACTACATGGTACAAAACACAACAACAGGAAATTAACCAGCCCCAAATGTTGGGCAATTATAAATGCCTACAGAATTCTCTCATGTCGTGTGGTTTTTAAGCATGAAAGCTTGTTTTTTATACTATTTATGGAGAAAATGTACATTTAAATTTATGCTATTTTATGGACACAATGTTCAAAACATGAAGTCAATTTGGAAGAATGTCTTCTATTAGTGAACAACTGACTTACAATATAATTACACCAATTTGGGATAATAGAAATATTTTACTGAATGTATTTCTTAATGAAATTAAGAAAATGCTTCCTTACCTAATAATCAGAATCAGTTCCTCATATTTATTCTATTAAATATTCTGGCATTTATGTCCTGGGACAGTGTATCCATCATGATTCAATATAGGTAAAGGATATCCCTGTTGTAAAGACTATAAAGGCAATTTGTGTGTACCACGGTACCCAGAGCAGTAGCTGATGCAAGTGATTTTCCTGTTAGTGGTTGTTAAATGAACAGCTAAGTAAACAACTGAAGGAATAAAGGATAAAAGTAATGTAATAATCCAGGCTACAAATGGCATTAGCAGTGAAGCTAACTGAGATACATATCCAGAATGTGCCAGTACTATGAATGTGACAGACAAACATCAGAGATGGTGTCTCCTAGTAATAGCAGAAGCTACTCCCATAAAATCTCATCAGCATGATTGTCGGAACAGAGCTGAACAAGGACACCACCAATGGACATGCCAGAGTGGGTGGGGAAAGCCCATGAGCCTCAACCCTACAATATGGGCAACTCAGAAAAGCTGGGAGCAGGAGAGGTGGTCTTCCTTAGGAAAAAAAAGAGCACACCAACTGTACCAGTACCAAATGGTCAGCCCTGAAAACATACAAGTAGCATGATATGGACTGAACCTGTTATATTTAGGAATATAGGCATAGGCATGTATGCATGCAATGACAATTGGTGGAAAAAGGGTCTTGAATGTGAATGAGAGTAGGGAGGGCTAGGTAGGAGGAAAAGGAGGAATAGAGGAAATATATTAAACACAAAAAGATAAGCAATTGGGAGAGAGGGCCTGGCACCTTGCCTGCACTAAACAGTAGAGCTGGCCCTGACAGTATGAGTGAGGGGTCCTGGCTCTGAGAGCCCGAGAGCAGGAGCACTAGCACCTGCTACTTGCTGTAGGCTTCATTGAATGAGCTAGCTGAGGCAGTGCTGGAGAGGTCATATGTGTAGTAAAGATATGGGAAAGCTAGAGTGAGCTAACCAACCCAGCTACCACCCAGGCCCAGAACCATGCCTATGAGTTGGCCCACCCCAACATCCACCAAATCTACGCATTGTTGGACCATGTAAGGGGGAGGAACCTACAGGTCCAAAACAGAGCCCATTATCAGTGTAGCAGAAACCAGAGGCCTCAAGCCTGCCCAATGATCGGTGGCAATGAACATTTGGAAGTAAAGATGAATAGACTAAAGTGTAAACTCTGTGTCTCAACTGGCCACATTATAGCTTCCACAATAAGATTTTTCCTTTCTTTGTTTGTTTTTGTTTTGTTTGTTTTATTTGGTTTTGTTTAGAGGAAGAGGTTGCAAGGACAGAGGAAGCACTGGGAGGGACAGGGAGATAAGTGGGATCAGAATTCCTGATGTGAAATCCACAGGGGAAAAAAAAGTAAAATAAAAAATAAAAGTAAATAAAAAAAAGAAGGTGAAAGACGTTGTGGTTCTAAATTTGTAAAATCCATTTTTAAAAACTCAGCTATCCTGAAACAGCAACCATTGCTCCCAACACTGTGGTAAGAATATCTTTGCAGCAGGAGAGAGGCCCCATGGATGAAAGTAACGCACTTCCTGCCTGGCAGAAGACGGGTTGGACACCGGCACCCGTGTTAGCTCGCAACTGCCTGACTCTAGCTCTAATATATCCCACACTCTTTGCTGGCCTCTGCAGGCATCTCCACCTGTACATACTCACATATAAACCCACATACGCACATACACATCATTTTCTAAAGAATAAATCTTCTTACTGAACTGCGGACTAACTGTTGAAAGTAAGGTATCCACTTCCAGTATGGCCTATAAGATGTCCTTTGTGGTTTCCCTAGTTTTTGGATAGGCTACATGCAAAGGACCTCAAAATATTGTAAAGATACTGTAAAGGATGGCTTGAACTCATATATTTTTGCAACACCAGGGTATCTAGTTGGTAACTTGTATTTCTACATCTAGAAGACACCACGGTCTTTTCACAAAAAAGCAAAAAATGAAAAATGGTGTTTTTAAAGGCTGTTTCCTGGCATCAGCTCAGAAGCCACATATCAGAAACCTTTAAGCTTCAGATGAAAGGCAGTGATGTCTCTTGGGAAGTGCAAAACAGAAGCAGTTTTCAGTCACCTCTTGGCCCCATGAACTAGTGGCCTCCATGTGCTTCAGAATCAATTCTTTCCAACTTTTAATATTTTGGGGGTCACTCAATCATTTAATCACATTCCAATTATGTCCCTTTGGCATTCATTCTTTTCCTATTCTCTATCTCTTGCTACAAGGTTTCTAGTTCTACACAGAACCCTACTGGTCTCTGCCTGCTTATATTTTAATTATAAGCTTATTGCTACCTCCTGGTAGTATTTCTACCATTTTTGTTACTAAATGTATCTCACTTGCAACTCTCTAGAAACCAACATTCAAATCATTTCTTTAGCCCAAATGACGTTATAATTTTCTTTCTTGCAAAAATAGAAGGGATGTGTTTGTTATTGTTTCCCTCTTCTTAAAGACCTAAAGAATTTGTGTTAGTGGCATTCATGGTTTTTTTCTTTTTCCTGATTGGTGATAGTAACTATTGATAACCAAACTATATCAATGTATTACAATGACACTGAGCAGTAAAATAACACCACATTTTACATATCAAAGTTCAATTGACCTGCTCTAAAAGTCTTAGTCTTTACCAAATCACTGTTGACAAAATGATGGATGCTGTACTCCTCTGAGAGCTTCCTTATGGGATTATTTAAAATTCTCCCTCCCCATCTATTTGGAGTGTCTGTACTGCCTTGGCCCAAATCAAATATTGCTTCAGGCATTTGGACAATGTAATGACCTACCTTGTCTTTTAGGCTTTGGCTCTGGCAAAGTTTGAAGGGACCTTGTTAAATGTTGTCAACGCCCATTATTATAAACCTGGCTCATATTCTCCAGGGATAATTGCCGGTTTGATTCTGTATCTAGGATCGCCCAATCATTCCCTTAAAGGGGAAGGAAAAAATATGTTTTTCTGGGGAAAGCATACTTTTTTTTCACTTAAGGATTATGCAACCTATGTCACATTGCATGTCTGCTTCTCTTTAACTTCTTTTCAAAGATGGGAGACACAGCCCCTTATCCTGTGGAGAAGAGCTCATCTTCCTTAAAATGTTATGGCTTTTTGTATATGCACCGTCTTACTTTCTCATGGATGTCTTAAGGTACCACACCACTGTAGGGGAAGCTGTAGCCACACCTGCTTAGGGGCTGGCTACAGGTCTGCCTGACCACGCATGCGAGGGCGTGGTCAGGGTGATGTAGAGTAAGAGACAGTCAGGGGCCATTTTTGGTTTCAGTTTCATTTTCGGCTTGCTGTACAGACTGCTGCCCGCTGGCTGGCTAGGTCGCTCTGTAAGTAAGGCTTTTTTTCCCTATTAAAATCCCTGTATTTCTACTTGGCTCTGTATTGGTAATTTCCCGCCATATCTGGTATCAGAAATGGGATTTTCCCGCCATACACAACAAACGTGGTGGCTTTAAAAATATTCTGAAATCTGTTGTCTCAGCCCTAGAGACTGCAAGTCTAAAGGCACTGTGCTGGCAGTTTCAGTCCCCTCCCCCAATTGAAACTGGGCAAAACATCCCTTGCCTCTTTCTACCTTCTAATGTTGACCAGCATCTTTTTCACGGTTTAATTGTAAATTAACAGAGTCACCCATGACTCTGTTACTCTTTGGCTTCACATGGTGTTCTCCTTGTTCCTGATGAAAGCATTTCTCATTTTGAAAATCACAACTCTAGAATATAACGTACAGGCATGGCAATGATTTCACTGTGTGCCCTCCGATTACAGGAGCTGGCAATAGGACGGTATTAGAAGATGGGGGCTTGAAGGGAGGAAGTGGGCATAAAGTCCCTCCTTTGTGAATGGGATTATATCCTAATTGAAAACAGCTTGATGGAAGGAGTTCATCTTTTGCTTTTCTGTCTCTAACTATATGAGGCAATAGCATTTCTCTATTTGATGTGTAGGTAGAGCCAGGCACAATCTTGACTTCTAAACCTGATAGATCTTTGATTTTCCACCCTCAAGAATTGTGATGAAATATATTAACATTGTTTTTGAACTGCCCAGTGTTCGATGTTCTGTGAAGGCACAGAATCAGACTAAAAGAGATGGAAGCAAAACTTTTACTAGTATATCACTAGATGTCATAGTGAATGATGCAACCCCCCCATGTTCTCTATGAGGGTGGTTACATCTAAATCAATATACAGTATAAGGTGGTGTTTCTCCTTCAAGCACAATTCATATATCCAGGAAACAGTTGATGGATGGAAATGGGAAGTTATGCTTAACTGCTTTTTTCTCCTAAAGCTGGACTAAGCATAGCGTTTTCTGGCCATTTAAAAGTAACTGTCCTTAAACATTAAGTATAAGGCGATTCAAGATGGCATACAGGCACAGTCTGCTAGGATCTCCAGGATGTAAGCTTGGGAAATCTGAGTAATACCTATCAGAAAAACTGGAGTTGTGCAACTCTATTCCTGGGGAGACATGAGCAAATGTCTACTCACACCAGAGAGGGAACATATACATAAATATAAAAAGAGTTGAAGTTGAGTTGGCCTATATGCTAGTTAGATTTTTGTCAACTTGTTACAAAAATGCTAGGGCCACAGATGCTAGGGTCTCTCTTCACAGATGCTAGGGCCATCTGTGAAGAGAGACCCTCAATTGAGAAAATGCCTCCATCAGACTGTTTTGTAGGTAAGTCTGTGGGCCATTTCTTTCACGGATAATTGAGTTGTAGGAAGGCCTCACCTACTGTGATGATGTCACCCCTGGGCCAGAAGTCCTGTGTTGCATTAAAAAGGCAATCTGAGCAAGCCATGGGGAGCAAGCCAATAAGCAGCACTCCGCTGGGTCTGCTTCAGTTCCTGCCTCCAAGTTCCTGTCCTGAATCACCACCTTGGCTTCCCTGATGATGGACTATGATTGGGAAGCCTAATAAACCATTTCCTCTTCAAGTTTCTTCTAGTCATGGAATTTATCACAGCAACAGAAAGCACACTAAAACAGAAATTGATACCAAGATCCTAGGTTATTGCTATAACTGACCTGACTGTGTTCTTTTGGGGAGAATTGTGGAAGGGTTTGGAAATTTAGGATGGAAAATTAGTGCTCAATCTTAAGGAGCTTTTCTGTGGGGACATGGAAGAAAAGAATACTGAGAACAATCTAGATGATGGAATCTTGGCCTGTGATGCCTCAGAGGGAAGTTTGAGACTTTCTCAAAGACTACTGGGTATGTCTGTATAATATATTTAAATTAAGAGTCTGTGGTTTCTGGTCAGGGCTGTGAAAACCATTATGCTTAGAAGAAACCAGCATCACTGAGGTGAATCTTCTGGGGATTATTTTCTCAAGGCCAGCACAGAAGCTATGATCCAGAGGGGAGAGATGCTATCTCATGTTGGCAGCCAAAGTTGGTAATTTGTAAGAATCCCCCAGATGGCACTTGGTTAGATAGCATGAGAGCTGTAGGATTGAAAGGGTCATGAGGAGAAGCTGATGGTTAGCACTGTAAGAGGCCAGGAGAGGCTACTGGTGAAGGTGCAATCTCAGATGTAATAGGAACCCTATGATTGAAGAGGTCATGGAAAGAAATGGAGGCTTGGCACCGTTTGTCAGGGCGGTAGTTCCTGAAGAGAGGCCTGTGGAGACCACAGCATACTGGAGATGCTGGGACTATGAGATGACCACCAAGGATGGTGGCAGGTACGGCATGGAGCAAGCCTGAGCCTAGAGGACAAGTTGTGTGGTTATAGACAGCAAAGCCAGAGAACTTGAGCTGCATAGGCCCTTTGGAGCTCAGAAGATTGTGAATGAACCCCTGATGTGGGACATTGAACTGCAGGATGACTTACACTGCTTGTGTTGGGCTAATGCCCATTTGACTGTAACTGTGCCCTAGTTCTTGCCTCCTGGAATAAGAAGTATGTAACTTATTTTTTAATGAACAGAATCCTACAGTTAAAAGAATTTTGGATCTTTAGACAGTGAACTTGTAAAGACCGTAACACCTTTAAGGGTATAATATGTTTTATATTTTGATATTAATATGAAATCTTGGAAATAAACAAGAAATGGAAGGTTGTGACTTAGTAGTGATATATTGGTGCATCAAGTTAACAAAGGGTCAATTGTCCTGGTTAGCATTTTGTCAACTATATTCAAACAAAAGTCATCTGGGAAGAGGGAACCTCAATTGAGAACGGCCTCCATGGTATTACATGTAGGCAAGTTTCTATACAGGGCATTTTTTGATTAACAATATCAGAGGAGGTCACAACCCACTGGGTAAGTGCCACCCATTATCAGGTGGTCCTGAGTAGTATAAGCAATGACACTGAGCAAGCACTGTATGTAGGGAGAGATCGCTACGGACCTGTGGCCAGCTTCTAACCTAAATCTGTAGTTTTTGCTAGGACTCAAAAATATAAGTACATTCCTGCTGTTTGACAGATACCCAGATATCCACTTTTTCTGCAATATGGGTTTCAGTACAGATTGATAATGCTAATATATCTAAAAATGTTATGTTCTTTTGTCTAATAAAGTTCATATAGACTTCAGAGGATCAAAAGTCTTAAAGCTTGGATCCACTTCTCACAGGTTAAAAGGACTCCAGATAATTACAACCTATGTTATCCCACCTATCTGTTCCTAAGGATAGGATTTTCTGCCCTGGTCTTTGACCTCCTGATCACTGTGGGCCTAAGAGTTCTGTTTGGGTAAATAATTTTTAACTTCTGTTTCCAGTTAAAACATGTCTTAAACAGGTTTTTGCTTCTGGCAAATGTATCTGAACATCAGTTGCTTACTACAGCCTGCTCCTAAAGACTTCAAGCCTTGGACTTGCTGTGGATGTGAACCAGTCTAGCTGATGTGGACACCTCCTGTCTCTTCAACAGTCTGACAACCAGCTGCTTCTGATGGATTCCCCATTGCCTGAATTCCCTTTTTGCTTTTAACGAGCACTTCAGCCTTCTTAGGTCCCTAACAATGCCCCAGAGTCAGCAGGAAGTAAAATGGGAAAGCATATGTTGCCCCTTTTCCCTGATTGAGATGCTAAGTCAAAAAGGAAACTCCCTTATATAGGGGACAATATGACAACAGAAGCAAATGTCATTCCCTCAGAAAAATCTGTCAGCTAATGGCAGGACCTGTTAACACCCCTTTGAGCCCCTAACAGGCAGGACTCAATCCTGAGTCCTGCCACTGGTACTTTGAGAAGGGGGAATGAAGGGACTATACCGCACCACCACGTTTTAGCAGCCATGACAGGCTAACAGGTGCTTGCCTGACCTTGCTGGACATGTCATGGTCACCAGGAGGTCAGATGCCCACCTTGTTGCAAGGAACCAATCAAAAGTTAGCTGACAGAGCTGTGCTTTACAGCTCGGCTCTGGGTGTGTTTTACAGACAAGTGCACAACAGCGATGTGAAAAGCATAGCAACCGCCCAAGGAGGGCCTATGGGTCATAACAACCAGTTGACCAATCAACACCGGGTAGGCCATCCAAGCCTGGAAGTACACGAATCCTGAGACAACACTCCCCTTAGGCTGCCCTATAAGATCCCTTCCTCGTGGTTTCTCAGGATCGTTCTCCAACCATCTGCCATAGTGGAGAGATGAAGGGCCCGAATTAATGGAGTTAGTTTGTTAAACAACAGCAATAAAAGACACATTGCTTTTGCATCGAAATGGGCCTGTTGGTGATTTGGGGGTTTCAGAATTTGGGCACAACTGTACGCCAAGTGACTAAGCAGCATTCATTCATGGCCTCTGCTTTGGTTCTTGCCTCTGGGTTCTGCCTCCAGGTTCCTGCCTTTGAGTTCCTGCCCAGATTTACCTTCACAATGGACTATGCTTGTAAGATGAAAGAAACCTTTTCCACACCAGTTTTTAAAATAAATAAATTAATAACGTGATTTTTATCACAGTGGTAGAAAGCAAACTAGAATAATCATGGTATTAATCCCAGTAATAGAAAGCAAACTAGGACACCTATGGTGGAATTACAATGTCCCTACTAGATTAGACAGCACAGGCTAAAAAGCAAAAAGTTCAGTTCCAGAAATAGGTTACCTCATTCAGAGTTGTTAGCCAATGAGGTCTCAGAGACCCCCAAGCATTAGCGTTCTGGAGTGTTTTTACTCCAGAACTTGAAGGTAAGCTCCAGAACACAGAGACTAACCCAGACTTTGATCCATATGGGCTAGCATTCATGTTTCTGGAAGGTGTTATGCACAATACTGGGAGGCAAAAAAGGAACCATCACAGGAAAGGAATAAACCAAAGCACGCCACCAGCTGAAGGAAGATAAATATTACCAGAGAAACAAGGGAAAGAAAAAAAGGGGGGGGGGATGACACCCTTACACTTTATGTTCTTTTGTTTAACATACTTTTCCTAACAGTTTTCCATAGTGAAGTTAGCTCATTGTGGTTTCCCTGGGGTCCTTGATTTTCTGAGGCGTGCTACTAGAAAAGACAGTGTCTCCCCATTTGTGAGTCGCCTGCCTCCCTTCACAAGTGAATTTATCCTTGACGCAACACTCGTGCATGTGTTATTTCTCACGCCACAAAGACCTTGAAAGCAGATGTATTATCTTTCTTACAAATAAGAAAACTGGGACTTGGGGATTTAAATGATTTGTTTTTAGTAGCACAACTAATTTAATGACAAATTTCAAAATCAAACTTCTGATACTACTCTACATTCTTACAAACTAACTTATACTGACTATTTCAACAGAGTTTACTTGATCTATTAAGATTCTCCCTCTAACCACCAAAAAATAGAACTTATGTGAACCTCATTCTGAAAACTACAATTAAACTGTGTGTGTGTGTGTGTGTGTGTGTGTGTGTGTGTGTGTGTGTGTGTCCAAGTGAGTTTAATTAGAATGGTTTAAAGGAACATGGGTAAAGGGTTATTTGCAAGAACATGATCAAATTACCAATGGCTACACCACTGAAGAAATTATCTTTCCTTCCCCATAGGAGAGACCATAAATTGCCTATAGATCTTCAGGATGGCCAGGGTCTCATAAGCCTCTGCCCTCTCAACCTAAACTTTATTTTTATTCATTTTCAAGGAAACGACTTCGTATCTAAAATAAATCATTTTTAGTCATAACAAGCTTGTTTGAGTAGCAGTCTTAAGATGGCTCCTGTGTCATCCTATTAATTTTCACAATTACTTTTTTGAGTATATCCCACTGACATTTTAAAATCATGATGGGAGCAGTTCTTCTATGTGTTCCTGTAGTAGAGGATTCCAAACTGGCAGATGTCGGTGTAGTTTAGACGATTACAAGTTTAACCTGTAGTGCAAGCAACTCACCATGAAAGGAAATGACCACCCTTACTTTATTTAAAAACAGTCCAGTATGTTCATATTTGGAGGGGGGTGTGGGGGAAAGCATCCTGCTGCAATAGCTAATTAGCTCAATAGATTTCTGTTGTCCTGATTGCTTGTATGAGCTCCAGGCATACACGTCAGCCATATTGATTTGCATGCTGGGATGAATGTCAGGCATTCCAGGGTTAAACAGAACCCTGTTAGAACTCTAGAGACACCTCCCCGTACCTATTGAGCTCCAAAACATTCTTCTCTACTCTTTCCTTCTTACTCTAGATGCACCCTACCAGCAGTACTGCAGGGTTCATTTTCTGAATCTGTCTCTTAAAACCATAATTGTTGCTATCATAGTCCACATCATCATCTCTCACCTCTAGTAGTTTATGTTTGCCTGTTTCTACTTGACCATTATTGTACCACCCAATCTATATGGAACCTGGAGTAATATTTTCATAATATAAATTAGACCCTATTTACTACCCCACAGCCAGCCCAAAGCTTTTGAATGTTTAATTACAGGAAAGTTGTATCTGGACTGTGGACTAGTATTTTTAGCTTGCTCTTGGTGCCTACAAACCCTGCTGCTTGCCACATCTAATATGACTTTCTCTCTGGCATTGCCCTACCCATGCTGCCCTTTCAGCTCTTAGTAGGAACACACTGAGCTTACTGCTCTAGCTTCAAAGATTTTACACTTGTTTCTTCTCTCACCTTTCTCTGGAGAACTTTGTATAATTCTGGTCATCATTCAGGAATATGGTCAGATGTGCCAAAGGAGACTTTCTTTGATTGTACTACCTCAAAGGAATAGCTCCCCACCATCAAATTCATTTTAAGTCTTCTTTATATCAATTTTTTTTCATTTTTTTCTTTCTCTCCATTTTTGTTTAAATTAGAAACAAGATTATTTTACATGTCAACCCAAGTTCCCTCTGCCTCCCCTCTTCTTCTGCCCCCCTCCAACTAACACCCTACCTATCCCATACCCCTCTGCTCTCCAGGGAGGGTGAGCCCTTCCATGGAGGGGTTTTTCAGAGTCTGTCATGTCCTTTGGTATAGGGCCTATGCCCACCCCCATGTGTCTAAGCTCAGAGAGTATCCCTCTATGTGGAATGGGCTCCCAAAGTCCATTCCTATGCTAAGGTAAGTATCTACTACAAGAGGCCCCATAGATTTCTGAGGTCTCCTCACTTGACACCCACATTCATGGGGTCTGGATCAGTCCCATGCTGGTTTCCCAGCTATCAGTCTGGGGACCAAGAACTCCCCATTGTTCAGGTCAGCTGTTTCTGTGGGTTTCACCAGCCTGGTGTGGACCCCTTTGCTCATCACTCCTCCTCTCAACTGGATTCCAGTTCAGTACAGTGTTTAGCTGTGGGTGTCTGCTTCCACTTCTGCCAGCTGCTGGGTGAAGGCTATATGATGGCATATAAGTTAGTCATCAATCTCATTATCAGGGGAGGGCATTTAAGGTAGACTCTCCTCTGTAGCTTAGATTGTCACTTGGTGTCATCTTTGTATATTTCCAGACATTTCCCTAGCACCTGATTTCTCTTTAAACCTATAATGGCTCCCTGCATTATGATGTCTCTTATCTTGCTCTCCTCTCTTCTTCCCCAAACTCAACCTTCCTGTTCCCTCATGTCCTTCTCAACCCTCCTCTTCTCCGTTTCTCATTCTCCTAGCTCCCTCCCCCCTCCCGCCATGTTCCCAATTTGCTCAGGAGATGCTGTCCCTTTCCCCTTATCCAGGGGTCCATGTATGTCTCTCTTAGGGTCCTCCTTGTTTACTAGCTTCTCTGGCAGTGTGGATTGTATAGCAGCCCTATTTTTTTTTCATTTTTTGAGACAGGTGTCTCTGTGTAACAGCCCTGGCTGTTCTGGAATACACTTTGTAGACCAGGTTGGCCTCAAACTCACTGAGATTCCCTTGTCTCTGCCTCACAAGTGCTGGGATTAAAGGCATGTGCCACCAATGCCCAGCTGTATCAAATATTATTAATTGTCCATTTTAGAAGTATAGGAGTTTTGTGTTTTCCATGGTTTCATCCCAAGTACCTTGTACAGTTTCCAGCGTTAGATAGAAATCATTTTTAGCGAATGGATGGATGGATGTATTTTTTTAAAATTCACCATTCTAAAATTGAGTAAAACAGTTCAATTTTATGTGTAATGCTAGCTTAATGAAATTATTATGCTTTGGAAAGAAACTTATGGCTAAAATAGTGTGCCAATTTAGGATCTTCTGAGAAAACCATTAATAGGTTCCAAAGACATGTAGCCTAAGAAAGCAGAATTCATTTTCATCTGCAGCTGTGGTTCTCAACCTTGGCCACACACTAGAATCACCTGGAGAAGTTATAAACATCTGAACTACAGAACCTTTGGGGATTGAATTTAGGGCTCAACGTTTTTTAAAAATTTCCCAGCCAAATTTAATGGTCAGCAAAGTCTGGGAACTACTGATGCATGAGGTGTTTTTCTGTCTTTCTTTTTTTTTTCTTTTTTTTTTTTGACTCTCAATGCTGAAAACAGTTCAGAGTGTAAGAAAATACTCATTAAATGAACTAGTGAGTAAATGATTGAATGAATGAGCAGTGGGCCCAGTAGTAGAGAGCTTATCTAACATTTGTAGGATCCTAGGTTAAATCCATAACATTGAACAAAAAACAATGTATTCACAGAAATTGAAAACTATTTGAAAAACATTTTAAAAGTGTAGTCTACTAAAAAGGATTCCAGATTTAGCAAATAAAATGAGAGACTTCCAGTTAAACTTGAGATGTAGAAAAACAACTTATTTAGTAAAAAGAAGGAAACATATAATATTGCATGGGACATAATTACATTAAAATATATTCATTATCTATGTTTAATTCAAATTTAACTAAGTGACCTGTATTTTATCTGGCACAACTAACTAGTGATGAGGGGACAGTTAAGATCCCCTTGTAAAAATCAGCATGTTATTAAATATGCTAACCAATTCACTGTGAAATATTAATTTAATCTCTACTATCTTCTTACTCTCGTCTGCTATGCAAAGCTACCATAAAACAGTCTATTATCCTTAGGAATGAAATTAATTTTTCCTTTTTAAGCCTTTAATAAAGTAATCATAAAAAATGAATTGAGTTCTTATATGCTATAGATGTTCCAAATGAATATAGAATTTTAAACATTTAGTATCTATTTTTCAGTTACCAACCTGTGGGTTGTGACATCTTGAGGGGATCACTCAACCCTTTCACGGGGATCACACATCAGATATCCTGGCTGGGCATTGGTGGCTCACGCCTTTAATCCCAGCACTCGGGAGGCAGAGGCAGGCAGATCTCC